GACCTTTAGTACCGGTTCGTGGCACGAACCGGGACTAAAGGTCTCAACCCCATTAGTTCCGGTTCGTGCCACAAACCGGGACTAAAAGGGAGGAGCTTTAGTCGCGGTTGGCCTGGCCAACCGCGACTAAAGGCCTTTGGGCACCTTTAGTCCCGGTTGGCCTGGCCAACCGCGACTAAAGCCCGCGAGCGCCCTGGGCCCAGGCATTTGGTCGCGGTTCATCTGCCGAACCGCGACTAAAGACTTCATTAGTCGCGGTTCCTACAGTTTCGCGACTAATGGGGCTGGACGGAAGCCTCTTTTTCTATCAGTGAACGAAATTACTTACTTTAAATGAAGCGATGTCATTCATGAACCTTGTAAGCTTTGCGCATGCCATGACGACATCAGGGAAACCAGCTACCCACTCGAGTGTTTCCTTGGGCATTGCATCGCCCATGCCAACAAGAAAACACACACATACTGTTGGTACACATATGGTCATGGAGGTCAGATTCACTAGCTCTTCAAAGCTCGGCTTGTGATTCTGGTGCAACCATTCGACTTCTTGGAGATAATAAATGAACTGTTTTTGGAACTGCACACAAAGAAGGTGAGAAATTAACAATAGGACAGTGATATGTGTCAAACAATTGTTTTATCTACCTGTTTTTTAGCATATGTACCTGTTTCTTGATGTAGGCAATCTCGTAGTTGTTATTCTTTGCCATTTCACTCCCAAACTCCTTAATGTTTGCCAACAGTTCATCAAAGAACTTCTTCAAGTAATCCGGCAGAAGAGAAACATCGCTCTCATCCCATCTGCATACAGTGCGAATTGCATTCTATAAATATAACTAATTAAAAGTACATGTTTTTTTTAAAGTACATGTTTTTTTAAAGTACATGTTTGTAAGCTACTTTTTAAAGATATCTTCTAGAAAATCATTTATTTGCATGATCACTCCTTGTGCATAGCCCAGATGGTCTCTTGCTTACAGTGCACATTTTCTATGGGAAGTGTCAAGCGTACATGCAAAATTCCTGCTTTTTAGGCAATATGTTTGTTGAAACTAGACTTGTTAGCATTTATGGAACATAAATTACATTGATCTCATAATCCCACCAGACTGATAATAGAAAATATTTTTTCTTCTCATGGTCAACATGGAAATTCACTCGTTGTCAACATTCAATTTATGTCCAGATAGAAGTATATGTATTAACAAAGCCAGACTAATGAATGTAACCTTTGTACGGCTTCAGTCAGCTTCCGACATTCCTCTATGGTGGCATGGGCATCAAATGTGTCATCCATGATGGTAAGTAGCACATTTATTTTGGCACCGATCACCCGTGCGAGCTCGTAGTCTTTCTCATAGAACATCACATGGGACCAAAGATAGTTCTCCACCACACGATCACGAACATAGGTCAGCTCGATGCATCTGGAAAGTTCATTCCACCACCTATTAAAACTAAATAGTTATTTAGGGTGATACACTATTTAAACACTACATGCAATTGATAAGATTGTAGACAATCAAAATGAGTCGAGTATTTCGCAGTGGAGAGATTACAAAGGAAGAGCATACCCACTAATAGCTTTCAACTCCTTCAAGTGTACATGTTGTAGAAGGGTAAAGTCTAGCTTTGCAAACTCCAATAGAGCAGGGTTGTGATATTCCTCTTCTTTGTACTCCGAGATGTAATGTATTGCTTCCATCCTCTTATAAGTCCTTGGCAGTGGCAAGTGAAGGGCACGTTTAACTTGCTTGGCTAAGGGGAACTCGAGACTCGCAATCCTTGATTCAAGATGGTACTTTGCAAAAGTGATGGCTTTTTCTAGTGCTGGTTCACCATGGATGAGAAGATGAGCTGCATTGTATAAACTTAATAATCCCCTTGTATCATAAGTAATATCCTTGTTGAAGACCCCGCTTTCACATTTGAATTTGTTGAAGACATCTGCAAGAAAAAATGTGTCAGGCCCATAATGCGAACCTATCTGCATGTAAGTGGATCTGGATCACTTAGTGATCATTACTTTATAGTTGCCAAAAACTTTTGTAATCCTCAGTCAACTAATATTACACATTACGATGTACAACTAGCAGTTTTTCCTCTTTTTTAGCTAGGATCTTCCCATATTATTCATAGAGTTTCTTTCTTATATATTTTTCTCTCCCAAGATAACTACTGAGAAATGGGTTCAACAAAAATGTTAAACAATCAAAGGGTTGTAAAAATCACGGTAAATATAGTAGGGAGAAATCAAAAGGTACACTGGACAACTAGTAGCAAGTGAGTTTAGTACACAACAACTAATAGTATAGTACACAACTGAGAGACAATGCAATAGACAACAACTATAATACAAAATTGGCAACAGATAACAAATGTAATAAACATTAATATGGAAGAACACTATGAACTACAAAACCAAAGAAATGCAATTGACAACTTTCAAAACCAGCCTACAAAAATATAACTATAAGTAATGCGGTATAAATTACATAGAATGCAATACACATTAATGTGACGACGCAGTTGAGACAAATCCAGAAAAGCATATTTATGGGGAATTGCTTTTTGGATATCTCTTCAACATAAAGAGAATTGTATTGACACTCTGTATGGGAACACTGGTTTAAATGGTTGACATCAAATATTATGGTGGCTTTTTATAACCAACAAAGAAAATGCGTAAGGGTGCTATGACAGGGCAAACCCAAAAAGTATATAAAACACATGGAAATAGAACTGTAGCAGAAATATAAATGCTTCGATCCAATCCTATGGAGTGCACATGCACTCATTACTATATTACTTGGTCAATCCACTACATGTATCCACAAAAAGGAATGAGGCATAATTGAGAATACCGGTTTTGGAGGCGAACAAGTATAAGTCAAATATTTCACTAGATGTGGGTTAGCTTGTAAAACCGTGGCGTGGTTTCAACACATCATATGTATGATGAAGAGATACCTGGAGATACCCAATGACCGTGCTCCCTAAGCAAGCGAAATCGAAGAGCGACCTCATGGAGACTAGAGCAACTAAATTCACTCCCAAGGATTTCGCTCAACATATTGTCAATCTCTTCTTTAAAGTGGTGATCAATTCCGAGATGTTGGAGTGAATCCACTAAGAACATTTTCTCCAACACCCCATCGCAACTCCGAAACAACATGTGGATTTTCTCTTTCAGTATATCAGCTCTCGCCATCATCCATTCCTCGCTCTGCATATGCATACATACAAATAATTAGGTTCAGCTGGCCAAAAGAAATTGTATATACATAAAAACAACGAATGAACTCACTCTAAATATGCATATTTGCGGCTAGATTTTCGAAATATACATGTCATTTATATTTCAATGCACTCCTCAGTACAATCATTTGACCATTATGTTTTGTACCAATATGCTTGGGTTAAATGTAGATGATTGTATTATGAAAAAACTATGGTGATTAAATGATACTAATTTTACTCAAACATCATAATGGTTTGAATTGACACATGTAGCGATAGCCTAACTTAGATAAGGTTTGTCGGGTATGCTTGCAAGGTTCATTGTCTATAGGTAATTACTACCTCCGTCCTGGTTTATAGGTCCCCATTGTAGTTTGTGCCAAATTTTGATCAAAGATTTAACTAACAAAATGTTAATGCATGTCAACTAAAATTATATCGATGGATTCGTATTTGAACATAGTTTTCAATGATATAATTTTTGGTGACATGCATGAACATTTTGTCAATTCAATCTATGGTCAAAATTTGACACGAAATACAATGAGGACCAATAAACCAGGACGGAGGTAGTAAACGCCAACCGAAGAATCTCTTGTTACGATGCTTCGATTTATCTGAGAGACAAATCAACAAAGAAACAAACCTAAATATTGATGTCTCATTTCTAAACCTTGTCTTCTTTTGCTGAATCCACCTCATCATTGGTGATGCCACAATAACACTATTCCATTACATCCACCCATAAGGGAAGCTAGAAACTGATGAGGAGTGAGTTCACCTCCATTAATGCTAAATCATTGGGTCAAGCAAACCAGTGATACTAGTTCATTTTTTTTAACTGAACCCGACATCCAAGCGGTAGATCCACTGCTACTTTCACGCTTGCACATCCTACTAATTTTTTTATGTCATCCATCTATCTATATAAGAGCCATTTACATATAGAAAAGTTTAGTGGTAAAAGTGTGTCTTCAGGAAAAAAAATCATGCCTTAGTAGAAATCTTGCGATTGAGCGTTTTACATACATTACTAGCAAAGACATTTGTTTGTGCAAATGGAAATTGATGACATTGACTATGCGATCAATTATGACTTTTTTTAGAATTCCATACTAATATTTAACTTTTTCTCTTCATCCATCAATGCCATCTTTCCATTCATAAATTTTATATACTGTTACCACATATAATTTCAATACTGAAACATTAGAACTATATCTTGTGTTCTCTTCCTCCACCAGCCTTGTGGTTGGCTATACTATGGTTGTATTATCTTATATAGTGTGACCTAGTATCTTTTATTTTGGAAACTGGGTCTACGCGCACCCAATTTAATATTTGAACTGGGAAAAAGGAAAACAAGCAAGACATTTCTATTGTTATTGTTGTTGTTATAAATATGGTCTAGTAATATACTCATGTGTAAAGTTTCATGAGAAGAAATGACTTTCGTACAATTCTAGGTGAAATTTTTTTGCAAGTACAAAAATTGCAATGGTAACTTTATATAATATTGTGTCTTTTCATGCAGAATACCATAAAAAGTCATTCCTTCGCATAACTTTACACATCCTTATATTTTTAGTTTTTATTTCACTTCTTTCTTCTTAGGTCATGTAAAATGATCTACATAGGACACTTGGTCATGTGGAAGATAGAGAAACACAAAAGAGATACTTGCCTTCTCTTAGATAATAGATGATTTCTTAGTAAGAAAGATATGACATAAGACATATGTCTCTACAGTACGAGATGTCTTTTCTTATTCACATGTTTTTTAGTTTGGTTTTGAACACCCCATACTTTTAGACAAACTATTAAATTAATGATAGTGACAATATTAAGGGATAATCCATTGCATAATATGTTGAACTACATTCTCTAAATTGCGTATAATAGATTGGAGAAAGACAACTTATAAACCATTGTACATGCCCTTACAATGTCGTGTGGTTGTGGATGTTTCCATCTATTACTTTCGACCATTCACCCATTATATGCCATGACAATGCAAGATCTTCTCTCTTCTCTCCCATCCATGCATGTTGCCGTGTCCTTCAGAATGAATACATATATCGGGTAGATACTTTTAAGTATGTAACTTCAATATATACTAAATCTCATACGTGCCTATTAAGATCATCGATTAATATATATCTAGTTTATGTTGGCATATGTTGGGGCTTGGTTGCCTCTTGTTTGAATAATTTATAACATGGTTATTAAGATCAATGACTAATATCATGTTAAATTATTTAGACATAGATGGTGGCCTGGTTGCCTCATATTTGAATAATTTAATAATAAGACACTATTTATGCAAATTTGTCATCCTATTTGCCTTTCCGATGGGAATCCTCCTCTTTTAGAGAGTGGATATGCATGCATGCATGCAGAAATTGCCATGTTATAGTAACTTAAATTGACTTGTTACCAGCATCAGTTACCACAATAATAGTATGTTTATATTTTAAAATTTATTTGGACGTGTGCATCATGATGATGCAGAGGCTGTGGTCTTCTCCTTTTCGAGAAAATTATTGTAACAATATGTATGTTTTTAGGAATTACAATGTTATGCATCAGAGAGTGGATAACGAAGTGTTAACAACAACCGAGAGATGATATCAGCCCATATGAATATTTTGTCGTAATCAAGTTAACCATGATAGAGCATCGTTAATCTGCTAAATGTTTTATGGAGCTACGTGTCTCCTGGATACTAAACGTTTGCTCCTCCCCACGACAGACTCCCGTGCGTCTAGGGTTTCCCTGCCTCCCGTCAACACCGGCGCCGATCTGCTTCGTATTTTATGGCCTTAGAGCCATGGAGGCATGGTGGATCCCAACCCTTTATATATGGTGCGATGGCTCCGGCTTCATTTTGATGTGTTTTTTTTAGTTTGCTTAGGATTTGTGTCCCACTCAGGAAGGCAAGGCGGTGGCGGCTCCCTAAGATGGAATAAGGTTCTCCCCGCCTAGACCCCATCCTGGCGGTGTGTCTCGTGTCCTCAGAGGGAGTTTGGAGGTGTGTCTCCGAGGATCTCGTGGGATTTGGTCGGTGTTTGTCTTGGGTGGATCTGCATGAATCTGACCTTCATTCATGTGTCTACGTATTGGATCCTTTCGATATGCGCTTCTCTTCATTGGTGACTGCTACTGTTCCGGTGCACTGTTCCTTTCGGGACTTAGCACGACGACTTCATGTATGTCTACTACAGCAAGATTTGCCCGGCTCATATGATGGAGGGGCGATGAGTGGTCGTGCCTTCGGCTCGCTCCAAGTGCTTGTAGTCGTCGTAGGTGGTCTACGGACATGGATGCAATTTTTGTTACTTCTGAATTATTTGTACTGTCATGATACAATTTCCTTTCCCCCGTCCCTAAGAAAAGAAATTAGGTAAATGTTTTGAGTGATAAAAGTTTTCAAAATTTAATACTGAATAAATCCTTGTCATGGATGTGGCCAGGAAGTTCACACGCGGGGTGACAATGGAATATGTAGAGCGTTGAATGGGGTCATAGATACAAATTTAGGGATTAACTCTGCAAGTCCACATATTATACGGGGTAGGTACGTTTGAGCGATAACTTGGAGTAAGAGCAAGTACAATAGCAGGCTTATAGCCCGTTTACATGGCATTTTTGTCTATGTGAAGGAGAGAGATATGAAAAAGTAAGGGAAGTGAGCTCTCATTCAAGAGTCTAGCTATATGCGTACTCCTAAGAAAATACAATAAATATGGAGAAAGAGAAAGTATGAAAAAGTACTAATGTAATAGCCAACCTTATAGGAGTAGGGCGTTTTGGTGATCGGGCTCCATGGAGGCCGAAAATTTTAAACAACTTCAAATTTACACTTTCATGTGTTAAAAATATCCGAAAAGTATATGCATACATATAAGGATGAAATGTATTTATGTGTAAAAATTCACGATGAAATATCTTGAATTGCGACCTATAAAAAAAAGAACAAATTCATAGACTTTGGGGAGGAATAGTATAATGTGTTGAAAAGTCAATGCTTTTTTTCACATCCCTCATTTCAACGTATTTTATAGTAAAAATTTATACGCATGTACATTATGACTCCATGTATATCTATATCTTTTCAGAATTTTTTTAAACATAAAAAAATATGATTTTCAATTTTTTTAAAATGATCTTCATGGAGCTCGGCTTCCCAAAAACTGTTTTTGACCTCATAGCCTGCATTACTATATGAGTGTATAGACGACATGACAATTTTATATAGTCATCAGCTAGCTATATTATTAATCATGCTCTAAAGTCCTTGCTAGTAGTCTACATATCTGAGCCCTACTGGAATGCAACTCTCTCCAATCCGTACGTGTATATATGTACAGTACTAAGCTAGTGTTCGATATATACAACCATAAACGTGTTTCATCATATTGGTGTCCATGGATGCATTCATGGATATATAGACCGAATAAATTCCTCCGTACTTTTCTTTTGCGGGACTTTACCCAAAAACATATCCTATATATCTGGATTGACGGAGTACCTGTAGTGGTTGTGGCTCGTAACTCATGAAGAAATCACCCCACAGAGAGGGCTCAAAGCTCGACAGCTTCCCGGGAGGGCCGGACGCCATCTTGAAAGTAGTAACAATATAAATGTCGTGTTAACTATGTTGCTTTACTAGTAGGGAGAATGGCAACCGGGAGTGCTGAGTGCTCGATGTCTGACTAGCTTAGCTATCTGGCCCTCTTCCGCCGTGGAAATAAATAGGTGCGCGCGAGCGTGGTAGGACGCCCATTGGGTCCAAGGCCTCTCTATTGCGGGCACACGTGCATGGTGTGACGAGAAAAGAATGCAAACTAGGGACGCAACGTAGGTAGACGAGGTTGAAGGAGGTTTTTTTTTTTTTCCGAAAGAGGTTGTAGGAGGTTGCAATATTTGTAGATGGACACAATCCTACGAGAAGGCATGGCCATTCGTCCACCGTCCATTTAGAGAAACATGATGTTAGAGGGACTATGGTATCTCATGTCCCATCAGGGTTCAAATCCTGGTGCTCGCATTTACTTCTGAATTTATTTTAGAATTTCCGGCGATGTGCATTTAGTGGGAGGAGATGTTTCCGTCGACGACGAGGTGCCTATAGCGACTTCGTAAATTTTAAGATGATATGCTGGCTCAGTCTTTCGAAGGTGCTCATAGGGGGTAGGGTGTGCGTGTATGCGTTTATAGGGATGAGTGTATGCACTTATATATGAGCGCTTGCGTCTGTACTGTGTTTAATTTTTTTTAGAGAAACGTGATTGGTGAACTAAGAAAACGTGATGGGATAAGAGCATCTCCAGCCGCGCCCCTAAGTTATACCTGGCCAAACCTCGGGCCGGGTCGGGCTTCGGGCCGGGCCTAGCCAAGCCCGACACAAAAAACCCAGGCCCGGGCACGGCCCGGCCCGGCCATCGGGCATGTGTTTCTGGGCCCAAGCCCGGCCCGAACACGTAAAAGCCCGTCGGGCTTCGGGCCGGCCTGGCCTGACCTTCAGAAAAATGCAAAAACGACGGGCCCGGGTCCGGCCCGGCCCGGCCTTCGGGCTCAAAAACTAGGCCCGAGCCCGGCCCGGGGGCAGTGTCGGGCCGGGCCGGGCCGGGCCGGCCGGGCCAGGCCGGGCCGGCCGGGCCGAGCTTCCCATGGCCAGGACTACCCCTAACATGCCCTCCCCAGGAGATTTTTCCGCGCCGGCGCCCAAAAGTTGGCCCAGTCGCGTCCCCGGGGGCCTGTTTTTCATTGGTTTGGGCCGAAATTGGCGCCGGCGTATCCAGACCGAACCCGGCGCGCTGGGGGTGCCCGGGGGCACCGGGGTGAGCGATTTTGGCACGAACGCACTGCGGGCCCACCGAGTCAGCGACACTCGCCTGGTCATCCTCGCAACGCCTCGGTTTCCCGCATGTAATCAATGCCAAGGCTACCGCCGGTCAGCCTTCCATTGATTCCTCACAGGCGGTGCGGCGACGACCCCCCTCCCGCCACGCATACACACGACGCCCGGCTATAAAAGCAACGCCTCTCCCTCGCCTCTGGCCACACCCGCCCACAGCCGCCATCGAGCTCTGCTCTCTCCTCGTGCCCAACCGCGAGGATGGCTAAGCGATTCCCCGACGATGGGGCGGCAGCCAACGGCTTCGGCCGGCGCTCGCTTCACGAGTGGGAGGCGCACTTGCTCTTCGAGGCCAACATCCCGGCGCCTCCCGACATGCGCGCCGCGCTGGGTGGTTGGAGGCTCAGCGCCTGCGGCGTCCCCATTCCCCCGGTGCCCAATGTCGACGTGCGCCCCGACTACTTCGCCGACGAGGTCGACCGCGTGCGGGCGTCGCTGACGGACGAGCAGCGGGCCCTCCCGCAGTACGCCGCCGCCAACCACGAGGCGTGGGCGGCGTACTTCCATCACCGTCAGGCGCAGCGGATCGCCTCCACCAACGGGGCGCCGGTGGTGAGGGCTAGCATGAATAGCGAGGGGCGCTGCCTGTGGTGGGGCGCCCCCGGTCGCTCGCTTCACGCCGTCCTTCGGCACCTCGAGGGCGTCAACGACCCACCCTTGACGTACCCTCCCACCCCGGCCCGGATCGACGACCAGTGGATGCCGAGGAGGACGACGTCCTCTTCTTCCTCCTCCCGTTCCTCCTCGTCGGGGTCGCCGACGCTGCTCAACGTCAAGGCCGAGCCCGCCGAGACGCCGCTCGGCCGGCGAACACGCAGCGCCGGCATCGTCATCAATGATGGCGGGCGTGCCTCCTCCTCCTCGGGTCCTCCCTGCTTTGTCAGGCCGAAGATGGAGCCCGGGCTCACCGCGGTGAAGACGGAGCCAGGGCTCTCCGCGGTGAAGACGGAGCCGGGCCTCTCCGAGGAGGCGGCCTTGAAGTGGGCGCGCGAGGATTGGGCGCACACGAAGCTAGAGCGCCAGTGTCGCGCCCTAGAACAGTAGTCCGCTCGGCGCCGTGGCCGTGACGAGGGAGGAGTCATCGTCCTCGACGACGACGATGACACGTCGCCACCAGTCCGCCAGGGCGACGGCGGGTAGAAGTCTAGCAGGGGCAGCCGCGTCAAGGAGGAGAAGGACGACGATGAGGACAACGATGATGGCGACGACGGCGACGGGGACTTCGCCGCGCTCAGCGCGTTCTTCCTATAGTTTATTAGGCCTTTATATTTTAAGTTTGCTATGTAAAAACTATTAAAATCGCCGAAGTTTATTTTTAAGCTTGCTATATTTCGCCGAAGTTTATGGCCGTTTGCTGAATTATAGGTGAACCTATGTTAAAAAAATTAAAAAAATCTTCTGGGTCGACTCTGGGGCCGGCGGCTGGGAATCCTATCGGCGCAAGCCGATTTTTTCGCCGGATCGTCCCCAAGTCGCGATTTTTGGAGCCTCCTGAGGGGCCAACGGCTGAAGATGCTCTAAGCTACGCTGAGGTGGTGAGAAAGGCCGCGTCACTAATTGGCTGCCGATACGACAAAAATAAAAAAAATGTAAACATCAACATAGTACAATAGTTGCCAAGTGTCTAACTGTCCTGGCATCGAAAAATCTCCCTCATCTCGTGTCACTTCGCACCAGCCGCGACACGCGTGGTGCTCCCACTCCGTCTTCCTCTTCCTCTCTCTTTATCCTCACACACACGTGTTCCCATCGTGCTAGGTGGCAAAGTCGTGCGGCGTCCGTGCACAGGAATGTCGATGGGACATCATCGCATGGCCTTCTACTAGTGATTAGTTTATTTGATCCGTTGGGTGGTTGACACCTGGATAGGACAGATGCGGCGAGGTGGCAGGCCTGGACAGGACGGATGGGCGAGGCACAACATCAACACTATGCTAGGTCAGGTCAATATACAGCCGGGTCCAGCTCCGCGAGAGACGAGTCAAGCGTCGTGATATATGTTTTTCTCCCTCGAGTTTTCCATAAGTATAGACTTGACCCCTTAAGATTTTTTAGTGCACATTTGACCCTTCAATTTTTAAAACCGAGTAAGTTTCGTCTAAAACCAGATTTTGACCACTTTGATCGGGTTTGACCGCCCGGATTTAGACCAGGTTTGACCGGCTGAACAGTAAATTCGGAAAAATAAAAAAAATCTGAATTTTTTGTCGTCCAATATGCTTACATATGCAAGACGCATACCAATTTTTGTGGTCTTTCGACACTCGAGGAGCTCGTGGCAAAAGGGAAAAAAAATCTATTCTAGGTGAACAGTAATTCAAAAAAAATGGTAAAAGAAATAAAGAAATCTGATTTTTTGGCACCCAAGATACTTGGGTGCGCTACATGTGTACAGATTTTTGTTGTGAAATGACATTCGACGAGCTCTCGCAAAAAAAATTGTCTTTTTTTTTGTGAGTGAAAATTTCCTTTTTTCCCCACGAGCTCCTCAAATGTCCAAAGATAAAGAAAATTTGCACACGCCTAGCGCACCGGAGCATATTGAATCCCAAAAAAATTCAGTTTTTTTCCTACTTTTTTGGAATTTACTTTTCACATAGAATAGATTTTTATTTTTTTAACCACGAGCTCCTCAAGTGTCAAAAGACCAAGAAAAATGGCATGCACCTTGCACATGTTAGCATATTGGATGACAAGAAATACAAATTTTTTAAAATTTGTTTTGAGTTTAATTTTCATCAGGTCAAACCAGGTCAAAATCTGGAAGGTCAAAGCCGGTCAAAGTGGTCAAAATCTGGTTTTGGACGAAACTTACCCGTTTTGGAGACTTGAAGGACCAAATGTGTATCATTTTTTTTAAGGGACCAAGTCTATACTTTTGAGGAACTTGAGAGACCAAAAATACTTTTCTCTAAAGTTTTATACATGTAGTACTACCTCCATTCTGTACTATAAGATGTTTGAATATGGATCACATGCAAACTGAAATGAGAAAACAAACACACTAAAACAGGAAAGGATTTAGGGCATGCAAGTCCGGGGCACGCAGATTGTATGCCAGCAATTTGCGCCAAGATTTGGAAATTTGGGTCTGTATTTCGTGTATTTGCGAGCGTATATCAGTTCACATGTATATGTATTCGCCTGGTAAAACTAAAGTATTATACCTCTTTCTATAGGTCCCGTTTATAAGATACAGATATGTCGATGAACAGTTCTTGTAACAAGTGGCCACTAAACGTTAAACTGGCTATCTGGCCTTCTTCCGCCGTGGAAATAAATAGGTGCGCGCGAGCGTGGTAGGACGCCCATTGGGTCCAAGGCGTCTCTATTGCGGGCACACGTGCATGGTGTGATGAGAAAAGAATGCAAACTAGGGACGCAACGTAGGTAGACGAGGTTGAACGAGGTTGCAATATTTGTCAGCGGACACAAGCCTACGGGAAGGCATGGCCGTTCGTCCACCGTTCATTTGGAGAAACGTGATCGGTGAACTAAGAAAACGTGATGGGATAAGCTATGCTGAGTTGAGAATGGCTGCGTCACTAATTGGCCGCAGATACGTCAAAAATATAAAAATGCAAATATCAACATAGTACAGTAGTTGTCAAGTGTCCTACCAAACTATCCTAGCATCGAAAAGCCTCCCGCATCTCGTGTGTTAGAGTATACGTAGAATACTGCGTACGGACTGTGTATGT